GCACCCCCCACCAAAACCCCCCCCCCCCCCCCCCCCATTTTTAGCATGCCCTAAAACTATTGGTAACAGACAGAGGAGTAGGGAGCAGACATTGAAGATGTAAAGACAGGTTGCCATGGGCACTATCAGGAGGGAAATAATGCTGATCGCGCATGCGTGAGGTCATATTGCTCTAGCAGTAGGAGCAGCTGAAGATGCATGGTCCAATAAACCCTGAGCCCACTCTACTATGGGTCATATGTGTAAGGCACAGAGTGCGAGGATCAAGGGTGTGCAATGCACAGACTTCAGGGTCAAGAGTGCGTAACACAGAGCATAGGGGACAAGAGTGCATGAAGCAGAGATCAGGAGTATGTAACATACAGTGTGTAGGGTCAGGAGTAGGTAACACATGGAATAAAGAGATCATGAGCAAGAAATTCAAGGAGTACAGAGGTCATCCGTAAGTAACACATGGAGTACAGGGGTCATCAGTAGGTAATCCATGGAGTACAGGGGTCATCAGTAGGTAATCCATGGAGTACAGGGGTCATCAGTAGGTAATCCATGGAGTACAGGGGTCATCAGTAGGTAATCCATGGAGTACAGGGGTCATCAGTAGGTAATACATGGAGTACAGGGGTCATCAGTAGGTAATCCATGGAGTACTGGGGTCATCTGTAGGTGACACATGGAGTACAGGGGTCATTAGTAGGTGACACATGGAGTACAGAGGTCATCAGTAGGTAAGACATGGAGTACAGGGGTCATCAATCAGTAGGTAAGACATGGAGTACAGGGGTCATCAGTAGGTAAGACATGGAGTACAGGGGTCATCAGTAGGTAGTCCATGGAGTACTGGGGTCATCTGTAGGTGACACATGGAGTACAGGGGTCATCAGTAGGTGACACATGGAGTACAGGGGTCATCAGTAGGTGACACATGGAGTACAGAGGTCATCAGTAGGTAAGACATGGAGTACAGGGGTCATCAGTAGGTAATCCATGGAGTACTGGGGTCATCTGTAGGTGACACATGGAGTACAGGGGTCATCAGTAGGTAATCCATGGAGTACAGGGGTCATCAGTAGGTAATCCATGGAGTACAGGGGTCATCAGTAGGTAATCCATGGAGTACAGGGGTCATCAGTAGGTAATCCATGGAGTACAGGGGTCATCAGTAGGTAATCCATGGAGTACAGGGGTCATCAGTAGGTAATCCATGGAGTACAGGGGTCATCAGTAGGTAATCCATGGAGTACAGGGGTCATCAGTAGGTAATCCATGGAGTACAGGGGTCATCAGTAGGTAATCCATGGAGTACAGGGGTCATCAGTAGGTAATCCATGGAGTACAGGGGTCATCAGTAGGTAATCCATGGAGTACAGGGGTCATCAGTAGGTAATCCATGGAGTACAGGGGTCATCAGTAGGTAATCCATGGAGTACAGGGGTCATCAGTAGGTAATCCATGGAGTACAGGGGTCATCAGTAGGTAATCCATGGAGTACAGGGGTCATCAGTAGGTAATCCATGGAGTACAGGGGTCATCAGTAGGTAATCCATGGAGTACAGGGGTCATCAGTAGGTAATCCATGGAGTACAGGGGTCATCAGTAGGTAATCCATGGAGTACAGGGGTCATCAGTAGGTAATCCATGGAGTACAGGGGTCATCAGTAGGTAATCCATGGAGTACAGGGGTCATCAGTAGGTAATCCATGGAGTACAGGGGTCATCAGTAGGTAATCCATGGAGTACAGGGGTCATCAGTAGGTAATCCATGGAGTACAGGGGTCATCAGTAGGTAATCCATGGAGTACAGGGGTCATCAGTAGGTAATCCATGGAGTACAGGGGTCATCAGTAGGTAATCCATGGAGTACAGGGGTCATCAGTAGGTAATCCATGGAGTACAGGGGTCATCAGTAGGTAATCCATGGAGTACAGGGGTCATCAGTAGGTAATCCATGGAGTACAGGGGTCATCAGTAGGTAATCCATGGAGTACAGGGGTCATCAGTAGGTAATCCATGGAGTACAGGGGTCATCAGTAGGTAATCCATGG